AAGAACTGTTCAATGATAATCAGTAAATAATGTATAAATGCATTAATATGCGCGTTTCTCGATGTTGATATTCATACGTTGATTGTTAGTCGCTACTACATTTATCTTTATTGGGTGAAATAAAACCCTAATTATATACAATATATACAGATATTGTAAAAAAGTTTATATATGCATGAGCATAATGGATTACGTTGAATATCATCGGGTTCATATGATTATGTATCTTCGTTCGACAAAGTAACATAAGTCAGACATTTTTAATTGCATATTATCATCGAAAAAAATTGTAATTATTATAAAAACCTATAATCGCAAAACTAATCCAAAACTGCATATAATGCTACTTCACCTTTCATTATTCACGATGTCACATAGTGTCGATATCAATGTAAATAATTAATATAAACTTTGAAAATATCCATGCAGCACATTAATCTTGATAATGTATGAATGTTTCATTAATTACTGTCTACGACGAAAACCATTCTGCTGTTATTTATCTATTTGTTCAATTTATATCAGAAAATATATCGCTTCTTGAAAGCTACTGAGTATCATAAAGCCTTCTAGCTCTAAGCTATCGGATATAACTATGAAGTGTACCTAGTAAACATACGAAATATGCGATGAGATCGCCCGCCGGCTCAAATTATCCTTTGATTATTCGCGTCCGGGGGATGAGCCACCTACCCCATCGCCTCCGCTTGCCGATGATGTCTTCTTGTTGCATCTTATTTCGCGCTCTTGCTTTCTTTTTCTATCTTATTTTCCTCAGCCGTTCCACCTACCTTATAAACCGCGCACGACGGCGTCTTCGGTTGGAAATCAGGGATGCGATAAGCAAACACTCTACCCGCGCGCCGCTCTATTATTAAACTATAAAATCCCGGCACCCCATTGGCGCAGAAACTTTCGCAGATAATGCTGAATTATAAGAACGTATGACCGGGAAAAACAAGCGAGTGAAAAACTGGACGAGATTTAATTAGCACACTCCCATAAAATTTGATCACTTCATAAAAGTTTATGCGAGAAATGCGTCCAGTGTGATAGGAAAATATTTCTACGAACACTAGAATTTTATTTTGTAAGTGTGTGAATTCCACTGAAAAAAATGTCTGATTGAAAATGGATGAATCAAAAGATTCTAATTATATAAATCAAAATTTTGGTTATTTTAACTAGGACATTTAAATAAATTCTAGTACATTTAAATAAAAAAAAATTTGATTTGTTCATTTTCAACCAATTAAGCCAACAAAACATTTTTCTTTAATATACATGCTGAACAAATGTGTGTGTGTGTGTGTGTGTGTGTGTGTGTGTGTGTATACAGTTCATATTATTTTATATTTTATACATGAGACACAAACTCTAAAAAAAATAATAATAAAATATAATTGTATTGTTTAACTATAAAAGATGTTAATTTTTCAGAATAGACAATAATTTTTATTCTTATAGATATGTTCACGTATATATTTAACTATTGGGTATATCAAATATTTTTTAATAAAAAAATATAATGCACATACAGTTCCAAAATTCGCGACTGAAAATACTATGGCAAGTTTTTAAAAAATTAAATAAAAAACTTATTTTTAAATTTTTATTTTAAAAGCAATAGAATCTAGCAGATTATGTCTAAATATTTAAGTACATTTAGATGAATACTTTGTGTAAATATATGTATTATCTGTTATGTTTTCATTCTGTACATTCTGATAGAATTTAATAAATTTCTATTCGTTTGCGTTTGCTTGCATAATTAATTTAATATTTGTCGAGAATTCTGAAAGCTAAGAATTTAGCTTCAAGATTGAAGCTACAAACATAATTTAATCGTACCGAAACTTTTTTATATTTGTGTATCTCTCTCTCTCTCTCTTTCTCTCTCTCATTCACTCACTCATCCTTTCTCTAATCATGTATTATTTTTAAATATTCTCAAATTATAATTTAATTATAATTTGTTATATTATTATCACGCGACAATTCTATCACATCATAAATAATGGATAATAAATTATATTGAATCAGAATATTTTAACAAGTGGAACTCAATTTTGCACTTACGTTGCATTTGCATGAATTAAATGCCGCGCCATTGCATATGCGACTTATTTGCCGCTGCAGTTTGGTCACGCCCTTGTTCACGGTAAGGATTATAACATCATCGACGAAAAAGCTTCAGGCTTGTTATAATGCATAAATAAAGTATAAACGCAATAACGCCCCCTAATTAAGCGGTCCCCGTTTATGCGAAATGATGATCTGTCGAAGAAACATGACAAGCAGACATGAGAAAACATCTCATATATTCAAAAATTTTCATAAAGCAGTTCATTCGCGTGCACTTTTGAATGATTCGTTCAGAATATACTAATTTGCATAACGTATCACTAGATATTTTTAATTTAAAATATTTTTTTCAGTGTATTAAATCATTACAATGACAGCTGTGACAATATTTTTGCTGTACGCTCGAGATAGAGAAATGATTTTCGACATCGATATAGACTTGTCAAGCTCCGTTTGATTAATTAATGTCTCTCTACATGAAAGTACGCATTCTCAAAATAGAATTGCTAAATGAAAAATATACTTTTATCGTTACAAATACTTATGTAATCCTGCCATATAATGTTATAGATTATGATCTTAAAGAGAGATTTTTGGCATTTACAATCTTCCATTTATAATATCGCGTAATTATTTGTTTACTATATTATTTATTTCGTGTAATACAATTTTCTTAATATTATATAAAAAAATATTATATGTAATAATACCTATGGTTAAATACATTCAACTGAGCTACTTTTTATCACGATGTCGTAAGCCCGGCTAGCTCAGTCGGTAGAGCATGAGACTCTTAATCTCAGGGTCGTGGGTTCGAGCCCCACGTTGGGCGAATTTAATTTTTTTTATTACGATTCTTACAACTACATTTACATACAAATTAAAAATATATTCGTATTCGTGAGATACGAATAACATAATTTCGTTTGCAAATAAATACTTTCCATCACTTCGAATTCGTATTACATGTAATTCATCAGTTTTATTGTTTCGTGAAGACTGCAGTGCGAGGAAATATTCTGTACTTTTTTATATCAATCTACATAATCTTCAACTAAGTCAAAGTTGCTTTTTATATAGAAGAAATATAATACAAATAAGATAATATAAATAAGCTATTTTTTTTATTTCTTATATAATAACTTCTAATTCTTGATTAATTGGAACTTCGTAATAGCGTCATAAATAAAAATGTTATTAGAATAAAATTTAATTTGAAATTATACATTTTTAATTAAATATTAAATATTATATTTTATGGATGATATTATTGCAATATTTCAACGTGCGTGCGTGTGTTATGTGTTCAATTCTATATTACTATATTTATGTTTATTTCAATTTATGTGAGGTATGGACAAATTTCCAAACCTTATTTCCAAAAACTTGCCTTAGAATCTATTGCGTGTATTGAATCCGAGTGGACTAAGCCCGAAGCGAATGAATTGTCTCTAGAATAATTTAATGTCAGACCTACAAAAACGTTTCAAAAAAACCTAAAATTCTTTAGTATCTACATATTATTTTTTTCGTATTCTATCAAAAACAAACCTAATCTCTCGCACCCTTTTTTTTTACTTTAACGTATGTAACTTGGATTTAATTATTTAACGTCCATTGATAAGAGGCAACATAAAACAGTCTTCAAATATTTTTATATTTTTACAAGAAAAACAGAAATTCGAGTTGTACCGCATAATTCGTATCTACAATATCTGTCACTATTATCCCGTTGTTTCCCATGTTCTTACAATATATTCGACAGTTCGGAAATTCATCGAGTAGCCATAAAAATGAAATATAGACAATCAGGAATGCGTTTGTCGCGTTGCCCGATGAAAGGTATCTCTCTATTATCTTCCTACAAACCGAGGAAGATCACGTAAGAAGCAGACATTTCCACTTCTGGATTGCGTCAGCGATGATCTTCTATGTGAGACAATCGATATATATCGTTCAGACGATCGCACGTATACTTTTTCGGATTCTATCATTGCCTTAATCGTCGTATTTCTTCTGAATAAAATTGCAGTTCCACTTGTTACATGATTCCGGACTTTGATTTAGCGGAAATTATTCTGAGGAATTTATATAAAAAAGATGTTAAACTACTATAAAATAAACGACAGACATTCTGCGTATCGTATTACATAGAAATCTATGCAAAATTTGTAATATTTAAAAATTAAATATATATTATTATTTATACATAACAATATTATGCTTCAAAATTTTACTTTTAAATATTACGAACTCATAATTCAGAAATTTTTAATTAAGTAATTTTACCAATTATATTTAATTTAATTCATAATTTTAATTGTAATTTTATAATTGTAATTATAATTGTAATTAAATAATTTTTTTTTTGTAAACTGAGATAACGTTTTTCTAGTTTTTTTTCAGCATTATAAAAATTAAGTTTTTCACTATATAGTTATCTTACGTTAATTTGAAAGAGAATACAACTCAATTATAAATGATTCACACAGACTTCTCACGCATTTTGCTTTAAATGAACTTGTAGATTATATATAATATTTTTCGATTTAGTATTCCATGATATCATGATCTTTGTTCTTCTAAACGTGAATTTTAATTTAATTAAAAATTGTTCTCTAATATAAAATAAACCGGAATTTTTTTTTCTTTTTAAACAGTCTGTCCTACAAATTTCATTCTACGATTTTTTATTCGATTAAGATATTTTATAATAAAAGAACTAAATCACTGTTCAGTAATTAGAAAATTGTATAATATGATGGACACTGTTAGTTACTGACGACCATCCAAAACGTAATTATAAGAAGTTTATTCATTCGTGCAAACTTGAAATACGCAACGACCGTAACCAGCATAATAATTACACAAACTCGATCTTTTTAACCGCAAAACGATCTGCTTTCTGTTCGTAGAAGCATCCACCGTTTGACTTAGGTGACTTTCGATTCCAAATAAGAGAGAATGGGAAAAACGAGACTCAGACGAAGGAAACGAGAAACATCGCAATCCATAGACAACTAGCGATAGCATCTGATCGTAGCCCATAAATGCCGGTTGTGTAAAAACTATCAAAAACCATCTTGTTAAAAGAAGCTGCTCGCGGAAGGTGATGACAGAAGAAACTGAAAGAGAAAGAGAGAGAAAGAGAGCAAAAATAGAAAGAAACGGCAGTGGAGAGAAATCTTAATGCGTGTGCGCATGCAAGAGATAATTTCCGAGTGATTTATCTTCTTAGATTCGCAGGTGTCGCGCACGTCCTTCACGGCCTTTATCTTCGTCGTACCGTCTTTTTCTTCCCGCCAACGAATAGTAACTCCTTGTGGCGCTTCTATTTTACGATCGCAGGATGAGAGGAAGAGAGAATAGAACGAGAGTAGTATTCTCGGGTGCGACAGATCTGGAATAATTGGAGGACGATTCGCGGTCGAAGAGAGAAAAGTCGAAGGGACGAGGTTTATGCAAAAAGGGCGGAACAAAGATGAATGAGGAGGAGACCGACGAATAAAAAAAAAATCGTGACAAAAGAGGTAAGAGAAAGAAAAAGAAAAAGAAACGCCAAGTGACAGTGAGAAGATAAGTTCTTAACGACAAAGAAGAAGAGGCTTACTAGTTTGTAGGAGAGGAAAAAGAGAAAGGACGAGAGGGCAGAAAAAGCTGTGGCGCGTGACGGTGACCGATGGTGGTGGTCATGGTTCCGATGGTGATGGTGCGGTAGCGAACGTAGAGCGAACGAGCTTCCAGATCTGTCGCGTGCTGCGTGCTACTCTGGAACGGGACTCGAGCGGGACATGCAGCTGATACTGAGCGGAACAGAACGACGAGGTTAACGCAAGCGATTCCGATGACAATTTCCACGATGATAACGACAACGGCAATGACGGCCGATAACGACGACTGTTATTAACAAGTCGGCTCTTTCGAAGTTCCTCGGAGCGCGGGATGGGATGGATGCTGCTTCGTCGGGCCCGTGTGAGTAGAACGAGTCGCATCGTGTGTCTCGTTGATACAGGGAGCGTGCCCGAACCCGGCGAGTCGGGGAAGAGAACTGCGGCACTCGTTCAGTAGTTTCTCGGACGCCGCACCGGCACCATCCGACGACCCTGCGAGATAACCCCGCGCGTGGCCGCGAACCCCCCCGTGACAATTCCGTTTGCATACGCAAGACCTGACCGATATCGCATAGCTCGGTCTGGTCCCATCTTCGTCGCGGCGATTTAGCGAACGATCTCGCTGTGTCTACCCTCGAACTGAAAAAAAATCGGTAGCGATCGGTAGTAAACGACTCTGTAGTAAAATTTCTATAGTATACTTTGAAACATTTTCTTGGAGCACGAGGTGCATGTCTATCGGTATATCGCGACGCGACAATTCGATTTTATCTCTCGATCTTCCTATCTTTCTCGCCTTTGACTTTTTATCGCGCCAAGTCGCGAAAGCTTGTAATAGAGGTATCATATTGTAGACGTCGATCAAGGAAAGGCCCAATGTTTCTTCTTCGGATAATGATAACTAGTGGTGAAGTAGTGATAGTGCGTTACGTGGAGATCTGTTCGTGTCGATCTTTCGCGAGAGGATTCTTCTGAGCATAACGATTACGAAACGTACGCGAAATCTTGAAAGAAGTAATTGATAAGGCCCGATAGAAAAGAAGAAAACGAGAAATGGCGCAAAATATTTAATTAATGCATGTTAGACACCTCGTCGATTAATAATAAATCTCATAAAGAGAGAAAGAGTGAAAGAAAAAGAAAGAAAGGACCGAGTGTAGTCACGAAAATAGTCGGTTAATTATATCACGAAAATCGGATTTTAAATAGGATTTAAATAGGATCGATCTCACCGTCAATTTATTGCCAGGATCATTCGCAGTGTATCGAGTATTCTTGGCGATACAAGAAACATAATTTCTATCGTATAGGACTCGCGAGATTCACCGTTGACCTAATGTCGTCTCGCAAACCGATCCCATCGTTTCCCGTCTACTGCGAATCGTTATTCCTGAACCCGGCGATCAGCTGATCCAACAGATAGGAACTGCGAGTCTGTATCAGAGCGCGCGCTAACATTGATACCCGTACGACCGACAGCAGCAAGAATGCGAGAGAACCGAAAACGTAATAACGGTGTATGGATGGTAACAGCGGACTGGCAGCCGCATCCCTCATTCCCAGCGGCCCACGTTGTTTCGAGGCACCCTCTTCGGAGGCGGAAGTGACTAGAAGTCGGCTGTAATGCCAACTGGCAAGGCGCGCGGCCTTCATCGATACCGCACCGACAATCGTGGTTCGAACCGACCGACGTTCCTCGAGGCCATTTGAAACGGCGACGAGAAGTAGAAATCGAAATCGTGAGGAGGAAACGAGCGAGATCGCGACAATTTGTAATAAACTCACAGGGGACGGCTGTACTAACGCGGGAAACGGTTGTGCCAAGGGAGAGGAGGGCAAAAGAAGAAGCGTCGGATGAGACCGTCATGCTCGCTGAGATCGACACGGGCGGGCATAGGGTGCTGCACTGTGATTCCCGTGCCGACTGCCCGACTGCGACATCGATTCATGTGTCCACTTTCCCGAATGACAAATGCCAAACCGATCGCGTGCATTTGCCCGAGAAGATCGACGATAATAGGTCGAACGAATCGCAAAGAAGAGCCCCGAAGGATCGACGGCAAAAGACTGCAAATTGCGTGAGAAAAGCGGAGCTGATAAACTGCAGACGTGGAAATCCACCAACTAATCACGGTGAAAGTTCACCTGCGAGAGTTCCGAGAATTGGTGACAAAGAGGAAACGATCCTAGGCGAACGTGACTTCCTGGCAAAGAGCCGCGTGCTTACGCAGCCGTCACATCGACAACGAGGAGCAACAAAAGAAAAAGGAGACGAAAACGAAGACGGACTCTTCGAAGCATGTTGCGTGTCGAGAGAATCTCCGCGAACGATCGAGGATGTCGCCAAGGACGAGCGTTTCTCGGTCACGTGGAACTCGCGGAAGGACGCAAGCAATTCAGAGATCGAGCAGGTGGAATCGCGGCTACGCGACGAGGCGGAACAACATCGGTTTGCGATAGTGGACGCGAATGGAAGCTCGATCGCGAGGCGTCGAAGTCTCCGGGATCGATCCTGGACGAGGTCGCGGCCGTCATTCTACAGGAGTAAGACTCTCGAGACGAATCCATCCGATCACTCGGAAGGAACCGCGGGAGGAAGTCCTCTTCTCTCTAGTCACCACTCGCGTACTCGCGCGAAGGACGAAACCTACGAGGACAATTTTAAAAACTTCGACGAAAGGTTTTTCTGGGAGGAATTTGGTAACAACGTCACGCGGACGGATGAAAATGGACGATTAGACTGTTCGGAACGATGCGATGAACGTCCGGAAGACGTGCGGAATAAGAGGATTGGGCAGAACTCCGCAAGCAGGAAGCGAATCAGGCGCGCGTGTCGCGTTTACTCGTTCCTGCAGCTGATCTTTCTCTTCTTCCTCATCGCATTCGGACGGTACGGATCACTCGGTCCATCCAATGTGCGTCGAATCAGTGCAAGACCGATCGCGAATGGTTTAAGTGTCTTGGGAATTGGGATTATCGGTGCAGTGAATGCAAGGTCGATTGATTTAATCGGCGACGCGGGCACTCGGGCCGAGAGATCGGCTAATCTCTCCCATATCAGTGGACCCTTGAGGAAGATACGACTGTATATCAAACATCGATATCTGCAAATCCTGCCGGACAGTACGGTGAACGGAACCAACGACGAGCGTTCCAATTACAGTGAGTACTCTTTCACATGCTATCACTCGATGATTATAGTTAACAAATGAATGGTAAACCATTTCAAGTGTTCAAGTAAATCGTTTATTTGCTACAACACAATGACATAACTCAAAGAATAAAATTTTCCAGGAAATGAGTTTGAACGTTTTGAATTAAAATTTTGTAATACTAATTTCAAAATGCAATTTCGATAAATGATTGTAAAGAAATAAAACTATAATTTAGGTAATATAATTAGATTTGAGATTTGAGGGACACCGCACCGATGACCTTGACAAATGTTATCAACGTTACGATCCTAAGTAACAGGTTTTAAACGGTCGTCCTTTGTTAAAAAGTTATTATCAAAAAAAAGTGTAAGAAATAACAGCTTACTTCTGCTACATACAATATTAAAAACTGCTCTATATTTCTTCTATTAAGAGGTATTGAATTTTCCACGCGAAGCAAGGTCCACCCGATCTCCCCCCCCCCCCCTGTCTAGCGGAGCCCCTTCCCCTCTCAAGCGTATTCTTTCTACACGAAACAATTGTTCTATTCTAAATAGTTTTGTGTAGAAAGAATACTCCGCCCCTTCCTCTGCACCTCCACCAGATTTAATCTTGACCTGACCCAACACTTATCTGACTGTGAGGTGGACCTCGCTTCGCGTGGAAAATCGAACAGAGAAGATATAGAGTTTTTAATATTTTCTGTAGCAGAAGTAAGCTGTCGTTACTTAACCTTTTTTTGTTAATAACTTTTTAACGAAGAATGACTGCCACCTAAAACCTGTTGGAGATTACTTAGGACAACATATATCGAAGTCACAGTTATCGGCGCAGTTATCTCTTAAATATGTCTCAGAATATAATTTTTAAGTTATGTCGTTGTTGCAGCAAATCAGCAACATGTTTTAAAGCAGATTGAATTCAATTATACGTTAATTCATTGTTAAGTAATATTTGCTAATAATTCAACTTACATTTAAATTATAACTAATATTAAATTAATAATTATAATTAGTAATTGATTAAATTTATAGACTTTAAGAAAATGTTATATCGATAGAACTCGACAAGGTTTTATGTAACAGCAAATCTTGTTATAAAGTTTGAATCAAATCTTGATTGGCATTAGAGTTGTATTACTAATTAAAGTTGCCTGACAGGTTTATTTTCAACGTGCGTATGTACATGTCGATTACGCGACGTTATCGAATTAACGAATTTATATCAATCTCGAACTAGCATCTCTCTAACAGATTTTTTTTGAGCTAATAATAAATATCGATCTATTTTTTGTCTAAGATATTTTAAATAAAATAATGTCTTTCTCACGCATAATAACACAATAAAGTAAAAAAAAATCATCATTATCGTCCTTTTAATTAATAATTAAATCTATTCAATAAATCATATATTCTTACAAAAACTAAATTATTTTGACAAGTAAATTATATCCCAGTATATTGTATTACGATTTAAAAAATTAAAATTTAGATTACTGTATAATGTCACCTAATATAATTATAAAATGTCTTAAATATAATAACATAATATTCTCTTTTAGACATATTCTTTTATCTTTTTTTTTATCTTTTTATTTGTAGTAGATTTTATTTGTTGTAGATTTAATGGACGATGCACGCAATATATGTATATACGAAGAAATGTTTAAAATCTTTTTTTTTATCAAATTAAAATTTTTTTTTGTCGATTTAATCTGATTCGATTATAAAATCTGCGAC